CCAACCCACAAACTCACACACCCGGCTATCCCCAACCCACAAACTCAACACACCCGGCTACCCCAACCCACAAACTCAACACACCCGGCTACCCCAACCCACAAACTCATCACACCCGGCTATCCCAACCCTCTTGCAGACAGCAACCCCTCAGGTCAGTTAATCTGCACCACACAGGTGCATAGCTGAGTCTTCTTGTGCAACACTGTTCAAACACGGTGCCAGTGCAGCAATTTGTGCAGACAGGTAAACCCACATTGACTGGGGAACTGTGTAAGACTGGGCTCATTTGCCAAGGACTTTGAGGACAACAATTTCTTTCCTCCTGCAAGTAGAAACCAAGCTATGGGAACAAAAATGCGTCCTTGTAGTGTATCTGGTCCACAGAAAATCTCTCTTTCAAAGCACCCGTGCTGTCCCCACAACTACAGAACAACTAAACGTGCCCAGGCCTTCAGACTGTGTCTTTGTTAAGAAAGTTGGAACCAAGTTGTGGGGATTTTAATCTATTTTTTGTATGTTTCAATGCATGCACTGTCTCCACTAAAATGGAAGAAATATGCAGGCATACTTGAAGATGTGTGGGTGGGATTCCAATCCTAAAAGCTCAGAACCACTTCATGTGCATGATGTCAACCAATAGCTGATCATATTGCACTCACCCACTGAGTTGGATCTGGGCTGGCACCACTTCAGTAGGATGTTGTTGCTCTCCGGGGACTTGGTGACGGTAGCCACGGGCCCCTTGGTGGATATGACCATGGTGTTGGAGGGCTCCGGTTCCGGCTGGTTGGTCATAATGGCCTCCAGCTTGCGTAGCTCGCTGTGTGCATCCTTCAGGTGGAGCAGCTCTACATCATAGTTAGCTGAGCTCATGGCGTTTTGCTCCTCCTGGAATGGGAACGGCCCAAACACAACGAAGAACATCGTCAATTGCATTACATATCACAAGCAGAACTTAAAATACAGATCCAAAAAAGCCTTACAGAATTACTTCAAAAAGGCAATGTACACCTTTCTCACCCTACAATGATTAAATCCACAACTGCATTCATTAATTCAACCCGAAACCATCATCAATCCTCCATAATCCTCAAAGTGGTTTTGGAAAATTTCAATTCAATTCAAAAATGGTATAATTAAAAACATGTTTTGCAGTTAAAAATTGTACATGTTTACACTGCAACTTTTAAAATTACAATATTTTAAACAAATGTTGATAAAAACTAATGTTAAGTATAAAAACAGAAGAATTATTTCAAAATAAAACCTAACAAATACAACAAAATCCACATCACATTAAGATTTTGAAGGAATGAGGCTGTGTAAAGATTAATTTTGATGAATTCAACCATGACTGCTTGACCATATCAGTATTAAGTAAGACAAAATGTACCCTGTGATTTTGTTGGATGAAGGAAAGTTCACGCAAAGTCCCTGAAAACATGCAACTGTGGAAGTTTGATAAAAGATACTCATTAAGCAGTGTCCAAACTAGGGTAAAATGATCAGCAAAAACAAGAAACATCATAAGGTCTTACCTTCATCGGTATGCCAGTAACCGTGGTGATGGCTAAATCATAGTGTTTCTGGGCAAGCACAGAGAGTTTGTTGGCCAGGTGGCGACCCGCCTTGGCCGAGTGGATCTCGGCGCTCAGGTGCGGAGACATAGTGGTGGCAGACCGGTCTTTGAGCCCCGACTCCTTGTTGGTCGGAAGGATGTTGATCAGGGTCAGCTCGCAATGGCCGACCAAAAGTAGGCTGGTGGAAGGAAGGCAAACAAAGTCTAAATTGTCAGCAAACTGACAAAAATACTCTTAAAACCTTTTAACAGTGCAAATATATACAATTTCAAATAAACTGTCACTGTGGCGTATTTCATTGCCTACAGATGATGGGTACTATAAGATCATTGAAATAACAGGAGTTATTGCGTAACTTCATACTCAAGTACAGGCTCACGACTGAAATGGGCTGAGCGTTCCTTGTTAATGCAAAAATCCCATAGAATGTACAGGACCTGGTGGGGGTGCACTTTATCTTGGGGTGGAGAGTCTACAGTTCAGCACACAAAATAAATATTGTGTACAAGATTATTTCAGCTCCGATGATGCATCTAGCCACCTTCCCTTAAGGCTCGCTAGAATGGTCAGGTATCTGGTATTATTTGATGATATCTCACACTTACTTGTCACTGTCCGAGGTCGCCACTACTTTGTTCTGCTGCATGATGGCGTCTCGTACGTACTCTGTAAGCATATCCCCATGTGATTCACTGTGCACACGACCAAAGGTGAAATACGCACATTTGTGGAAGAAAAATAGTGAGGAATTTGATTAGCAGACATTGAAATTAAAAAAAAATTGAATTTGTGGGCTAATTTACTTTACCCCAGCTTAACCTACGTTCAAATTTGGTGGATTCTGCTGAAGAAAGAGCCTCCTTCACTCTGCAAATTCATAAACTGTCACTGTACTAAATATTTTTATAATTATTATTGTGATTTTAAATTTCCTTGACAAATTCTCAAAGGAGAATCCCATGCAGTTTTCTGCTTTTTCTGATTAAACAAAAACTTGGCTTAGAACTATGAAAAGAAATTGAAATCAACATTAGAGATTAACCTCCTTAAACACATCAGGAAAGAGCAACGCCATCCGTTTTGATGTGCCTGAAAAACTGTGAGCTTAATTAATCAAGGTGGGATGTGACTGGAAAGACCTCCATACATGGACATCACATGACACCCTGTGTACAGACCCTTTTGTTTTCTAAGTAAATGTTTTAATATTTTCTATGCTGCTTTGACGTTTTAGGACATGTTATCAATTTCTGATGGCTGATATGTCACTGCAGGAAGAAATTTAGTATTGTCCTGAGAATTCTTCATATTTCAACACTTCTTACACACCTCTTGACGGACGTCAGGCATATGATGCGCCCTCTGTTGACGACCTTCTCCTCCCCGCCATCCTCATTCATCAGCGACTGAGCCACCACCTGATGGTCCGTTCCTTCCATCATCATCTCTATGGCTGAAGACAGGCCGTTTAGAATGCTGGCGTCTGAATTCTTAGACGAACGGAGCGGCCCCAGGGCTGCCAGTGATGACATCAACTAATCGTTGTAAAGTGATAATTAAAGATACCTACATGTATTAGTATTACACACATGCTTGTGCTGTAGCAAGTTGGAGTAACTCTGGTAAGATGATCAAAGTGACCTGATTGGAAAAATTAGTTCATAAAACTTAATAGTTCTTAACAGAACCACAGATCTTTTAAAAAAAAGTTATTTGGTACTTTACAACCAGGAAAAAGAGATTAATCACACAAGAAGTGTAACTAGTTACACAACAGACCATGAACACACGCAACGTCACAGGTGTGGAGCTCATCTTGTCCCAGAATCTGTTGGATGGAACTTACACAAAGAAGGCAGGGATGGATCAGGGGGCCAACAGGGGCCATGCCCCCCTAAAAGGAGCCCCTCCCTCATTTGTTTGAGAAAAAAACAGAAAGGTAAATTTGGGGGGCTATTTTCACTTCCCTTCCTCTCCAAAGTGTGTAAAAAGCCCCCAAATTGTGACCTCAGATGTCTTTGAAAGGACATACACATATAATTTTTCAGTATCAACAATCAACTATATATCTTACCTGTGATGTATTCTGATCTTCCGGTGACCATGAATTCAGGGGTCTGGCCTGGGTGTCACTGGCCACTACACAAATCTAGGTATGGAGAGCATGATATCACATTCAATGCTCTAATTTACAGCAAATATGAATGAATCACGTATCACTTCATTTCATACTCAGCCTGCTAAACTTAAAAATGTGAGATGTATGAGAAACTGGTTGCCAAAACTAACAATGCAATATTTCCAAATTTTGTCCATGATATCGTAGCCTATTATTGCTGACTTTGTTAGTACATGTACATTAGTAACGTGACAGTGCTGCTTACAGCTTGGGAGGACTTAGAATATAAAGTTCAATTTCCTTCATCCAATCCAAAGATGAAATATTAATATAACAAGGTAAATCATGATGTGAATTGTAAATTATCAACCTTGTGTTCTGTCAAGGGTTAGGGGTACTTTTATTTCACATGCAAACTTTTCCTTCCATTTCGTTGGTAACCATTACATTGATGTTGTACAGGTACAGGTACATGTATGGTTATCCTATCGCTAGGTATGCCATGGGTTTGTTAAGCCCAAGTCATGCATGGAACAAACCATACTTCCCATGAACTTCCTTTAAACACGATCTTGGTGTTAAACTTGACATCATCAAGGGCAATCTAGGGAGAGGGGGGTCACTGAAGCCATAGCTCCTCCCCCCCGAACAAGTTCTTCTTGTTGTTTTAAAAACAATGGCAGAAAGGTATTTTTGGTCTAGTTTCTTTCCTTCCTTCAAAACAAATGTAAAAAACACCAAACTGTAGCCTCAATCCTTGGGCAGGCCATAAAAGGTTACATAAAACTTTCCAAGATTTTTGGCCCCCCACAAAACAGTTTTGGCCCCAAAAAGTTAGTTCAGGAACCATACCCGTCAACCATTGACACGAAATATCAGTCTTACCAATTTTCCTTTTGGGAAGATATCGTAGACCACCCTGCAATACTCAAGCACTGATTCGACGCTGCATGTCCAGAGTGACTTGCAAAATGGCGCTAGTGGAATGAAACCAGCCGAGCGTGTCTTGCTAAGAGCGACCACATCATACTCTACAGGGTGCTCGCACGACTCGGCAAAGAATGGCCCATGGTCCAAGACAAAAATGGTTTTGTGAGATGCAGGAAAGGACATGATGTCGGATGTTTCGGTCGATCAACCTGAGTGAAAAGACAGCTTCTAATGAATGCTGGCATGACCTGAACATACAAAAGTTACCATCTGAGTTGGTACATAAAACAAATCTGGGCAACCTCATATCAAATTCAAAGATATTCAAACATAAAACTCAAATTTCTTTGGTCAGTTTAGCACTGATTTCGACTGGGATCTACCTGTAGTTGGCCGTAGTTGGCACTCGTCAACTGCCTTCATAAGTGAAGCCAAATGGCATGTCCATTTTTTTCCCAGTTAAGACACTGGGTCAAGGATTTGGAGATAGTCCAGTAGACTGGTCCTGGTCTGGGGTTAATTGAAGACTAGTCTAGGCTTTGCTTCATTAAATGTTTGGAGAATTGTGCCACCTAAAGAGGGCACGATTTTATTTTGTATGTCTTTCTATGTTCTGACATGTCTGACACTCTATTCTGTTGGTAAGAGGCTGTTCAACCTACCTACTTATCTGGTAAAGGGAAGCCCCTCAATTCAGTTGGTAGCCTAGGCCTAGCATAACATATAAATGTTTATTTTCATGTTTTTACAGCAGTTAACTATGGAAACAACTGGAAAGGTCAAGGCCTATATAGACCCGTAAACAGCACTCTTGGTACTCTGAGAACTGTGGCACAGGTCCTATGCCCAGAACTGTGGGATAGGTCCTACATGTACACCCAGAGCTGTGGGGTCCGTACATGGCAGTGCAACAGATGACGGACTCCAAGGACATGAAGGGTGCATAAGCACAGTTACTCCTGTTAACATGAGTGAGGATACGTGCACATTAATCCCACGTCAGGCATGTCAGGAGTAAATTCCTGCACGATGGGCAGTATGGGGCAGCCCCAGAACTGTGGGGTCCGACGTCCAAACCGCTCCCACATACCCCACAGAAAATTAGCCTTTTGGCCATAAGTTCATGGGAGCGGGGCAGACGTCAGACCCCACAGTTCTGAGGGTGGGCAGCACAGACATCTGGGATTCTCGCAAAATGACATTGGTAGGTACTGCGCCAGTGAAAAAAAGCGACAATGGCAACGTGTGCATGCATCAGCCAGTCCAAGGCTTAGGTTACAAAATTTTTTCCTTGAACAGGACAGTTGGCCTACTGTAGGCGCGCACTCGCTGCAGTTGTTTTCATCGGCACAGTGTGGTTGAAACCCGCAATTCTGTGAAACTCCTGGCTGTCCGTGCTGCCCCATACTCTCGCTGATCCGTGGGGCGCCCTCCCCCCCCCTCGTAAGCTTTTGGAGAGTACTCGCGTCAACGCGAGTATCTCGCTCGAACGCACCCCACAGGTCTTTTCTGGGAATGCAGTAGGTACCCGGGTACGGTAGCTCCTTAGCGTACTCATGCATGGGGCTCGATTCCCGGTGGCTCGGCACAGCGTCAAGCTGAACATTTCATACATGTATTTCTAAACATTTGGGCAGATTTCAAATACCGATATGACAAGCATAAAAGACGTTAAAGCTGATGCTGTAAAACACCGACATAACCTAACATTAAAGCAACAAATCAAGCATTTCTACTTACAAGAAACAGTGCAGTCATGGCATAACCGGTAGCTTCGGGCCGAGTCCATTACCACGACCGATTATGGTGACCATTGCAGATTGGTGGCGCTACAACGCGTCCGTGTCCGAATTACTTGGCTGCGGCTAGAAATTACGCGCGAGCCTATGGTAGCGGTGCAGCCAGTTTCCATAAAGTTATGTGCAATTGCAAGCCGCTGCCAAGTGATTCTGATGCGGTTTCACAGGATGCACAGACATCAGTCTGTGGCTGCGCTAAATGTGGTGACTTCCCATGGACATAAGCCTCATCAGCTATTTGATTTGGACACGGCTTTGTTTTCAACACGCTGATTTTCAAAGCCATTTCCAAATCAACTGACTGCAGGTGGTATTGAGAATTGTATCCGTCCGATGCCGTAGGTCGATTTAATTGTCATCAAAATAATGTGACATCGATTCTTTGCAGGTTCAGCTGTTGCTATTAACACTTGGCATGTAGCTTGTCTTTCGCCAGTGTCCAATGTCAAAAAACACTGGAGTCTACCAGTGGGCTGGGCCGGGGGTATACCGGCCAGGCAAGATATGGGACGAAGGGGTACCCCCTTACCTGTCCAATCCCTATACACACTCTAGACTACTGTTACCTAACACATCCCCCTAGAAGTCTGTAAAGAATTCCTGAGATTCCAATCAATCAATGACCAACACAAAGGCGGGGGGGCTCTCTCCGTCCCATATCTTGCTTCAAATGGCCGGGGGAGTACCACCCATGATGTAAATCAACGGAGCCAGAACATCTCTTTCAAAAATAGATTGGGTCTCTGTGGTGAAAATGTCAGTGCCGAGAAAGCGCAGGGGCTGGAGGGGGGGGGCAACAGTCAACGCCTACAACTTGCCTCCCAGATATAATTTCTGTGCATGGGGCTCAACTTTTCCCATTCGACAGCATTAATTATTGCGAGATATTCATTTACATTGGTACAAACTCAAGTCGAATTGCTACACGGAAGTGATCATTTAAGTACTACAACATTGAATTCAAGACACACCTATTTATACCTCAGTGGACAAAAAAGAATAGCAGAGATTTGACTTCCTCAGTAAAAATTTTGCAATAAACCAACTTAATGGCACTCCACATTACTTGCACACACAGACTTATAAAAATGCACCAGCATACAATGTACACTGCACTTGTATTACCAAAATTCTTTATTTTCATTTATCACAGTGATTTGATATTTATAGCAGTACAAGTAGGCATGTACCAAAACAATAATACACAGTTCAGTTACTTTAAGAAATAAGGAGACTAAGTCCGTAGTTACATAACATACATGTACTCTGCTCCAAATTACATCAGCACAGAAAAAAAAAGTAAAATCGGGTCTTTACTGTGAACTAAAACAACACAGAACAGTAATTTGGCAGAGCTGAAAATTAATTGCAAAGTGAGCATAAATGGGGAGCATATTCAGGATGTTTTAACCTACTAGATTTTTGCTTATTTATAATCCTACTTGATTGAAAGTAATCACACTTGGTATACTGCAGATGATTCCACAAAATCAAAGAAGGCAGACATCATCACATACAGTGCCCATACATGTACATTTTCGTGCTCTTATCAAATGACACATGCATTTTTTTTTCTGTACTGATATTAATTCATTTTTTTCATCCCTCTTGCTGCTACTGATAACGTTGTCGTCCAGTCCAGTAACAAGTCCTTCCCAAAGACGGTGTCACAAGTAACAGAGTTAATAATGACAGATGTGAAAGGTACGCTTCAGTCACACTGTCATTTGACAAACTTGTTACTGGACTTAGCTACTGAACGGTATGTGACAGACTTGAAATGAACTTGTAAGGACTAGTGACGGAATGGAATACAACGCTGCCTATGGATGTTAAAATTCAATCGCTAAGACAGTCTTCTATACGGAGTCTTCAGATTTTTTGGCTTCATATCGACCAGTTATGGCGACCAGAGACAACCTACAAGGTCACATAAACCATCAAATGAACAAAAATATTTTTATCTCCAGCATCATGGAAACAAAAGAGATCAAATCTCACAAGACGAGTCTCGAGACTATTTTTAAGTAGTTGTTTGTTTCCTTTCAGAGGTATCCCAGTGAAAATGGACATGATATGGGTGAAAACTGTGTAAAGGTTCTTATTGATTGATCTTGTATATGATCATTCTGAAAGTCTTCCACTCAAAAAGTTGCCCGGATGACTTACAGCTCATTTTGTGAGGTTCGGACACAAAATGTCCAAGAAGTGTAAACCACAGTGATTGTTCATGTACCTTTATCTACTTGAAACGAATCCCCACTTCCCTGTTGCAGTAAAACCTAAGAGAAGAGACCTCTCTAGCATGACTGTGCAAGACACAGGAACATGTCAGCTTCTGACACAAACTACAAAATGTTAAGTATGTTTGGTGTAGCAATTTTGACCCACCACCATCATAATGGCTTACACGAGTACGACTCTCTGGAAGGAAAAACACCTAAGGATGGAGCATTAAAAACACATTCTCGCCACATAGTTCAGATCTGATGGTAGAGACTGCTCCTTCCTGTATGAGAGCAGATATAAATGGGAAAACACATCCGATACTAATGTATACATGAAGTATGTATTAACATTACGGGCCAGTCATATCATTTAGAAGTATTTTCTTCATGACCATAAATGTGTCGGGAGGCAACTACGGTACTTACAGCCCTTTTTCAATTAATGTTTGACGAAATAATATACAGCTTTTGATGCAAACATAATTTCTGTCTTAAAAAAAGCCTGTCAGTGTCATGAACATTTTTACAACAGAGCAGAATCCTGCGTTGTACGGAGGAATAAGATACAAATTGCTATGTGAAATTTTGAGGACTGATGACGTCCTCAATTCCATAACAAATGATCTTTAAAAATACCAAATTGTCGTGGAAATAATAAACGGATATACAGTTCGTTTGCTTTCACAATTTCTATTCACATGGTATTCCCAACTCTTCCACCAAAAAGCAACAAAAAGGTTAATATTATGTAACATGGAAAAGCCTGTCACATGATCTGAGTAGAGTCTGTCCACAAGGATGAGAAATAAACACCCTGCTAACGGGTCACTGAAGAGAAAAAGCAATCCCAGAAGGCATTTTAATTAAAAAAAAAAAGCAACATCACTGTTTATCACAAGCACATAATAGAAAAAGAAACCTAGTACAATCATTTACTTCATTACACAGTAGGCCCTAGCGACATTTTGTCGAAGACTACACTTAGAATTACATAAAGTTTGCTGACATGCAAATGTACAGAGACATGGGGTTTGGGGTGACATACAAAACCAATGCAACTTTGATAAGCAATTCCGCTCTGCATATTGGCTGCGTGTCCACATATTATTCCTCTGTGTCGGACCACACCTCAAATATATGTCGGTGTTAATTCTAGGATTACCTGTGTCAAATTCTACCAAAAAGCAAAAACCAAAACAAAAGACAAAAATAAAAAAGATTGGAGTGCAGTCGCATTACAGAGACACACAAGTCCAAAATTGATTATGACCAAATAAATTTTGAATCTTAACATATCTACATTGCCAATTTTAGTTCAAAACCTTTGTGTGTTGGTAATAAGCATTTCTATATTACTACAGATCTTAAGAAAAAGCAGTACATCTATCACTGAATAATTGGAGTCGGTACAAGATTTTAGTAATGACAACAGCTAGAATGGCCGATTGAATAGTTTAATGCAACTTGATGTTAAGTTTCTGTGAACAAGTTGGTATCATTTATGGGTGAACAAAAAGTTTTATGACTTTGTGGTATTTGCCTTCTTTGTAATGTGGATGAAAATTGAATCCCCTCAAAAACATGAACATTTATGGCGTTGAACAATACCTCAACCACCATCATTACCATTAAAGACTCCCATGGGGTGATATAACACATAGTTGCCGGCAATTTTTTTACAAAAGAAAACTTCAGAAAAACAGTTCACACTAATAAATTTGCAACACAAGAAAAACAACATGGAGGCTGCAACTGAATTTCTGTGGAACCGAAACACTTATCTTCCCTAACCCCCCTCTGAAAAACGATATCCCCCTCTAGAGCTTTAATTTGTGCAGAAAGGTGGATGGGGAGGTTTGCCATAGTAACAAGCATTGTCAGATTAAAATGTCAACAATGGACAGATACAGATAATGCTAGGGTTTTTAACTCTAAGGTGGGGCAGTATGAAAGATGGGGTGAAGACTGGGCTGAATCAACGACACCGCTCCAATGGTATACAATTCATTAACATCACACAGGGTATCCAACAAAAGTGCTTCTAATTTACAGATATTGAGTCTTGTCCACGGTTCAGTAAAAACCTCGCAACAGGATGTGAGAAAACCAAAAATGATCGTCGGGAGGGAGGCAATGGGAGGATTCTTTTACATCGCAGATCAGGGCAATCAGTTACTTGTCTCTTGGCAAGATTTTCAACAATTTCCACAATTTGTGCTTACGACTTTTGACATTTTCATGATAGTTACATTGTCAGCCGTGCGTCGTGACAATGAGCCAGTTCAGTATTTCAAAAAAGTACGGGCATTTGAGTACAACGCATGTGACCTTGAAGATGTTTGGTAACATGTGTGGTCGCATGTACAGCTGCCCTGATAGGGCCTACCTTAGGCTCGACCACTACTGTTCTTGAATGACCTCCAACATCCTTCATTTGGGACATGCAGGGTTGGAATATTGAAGTGGCTCATTTCAATACGCTGAAGCCATTCAAAGGGCTTTCCCAGGTGCCTCATAACAGGGAGCTCAATCAAGCCACCAAGAACGGCTTACCACAGCCATAGAGATTTTGGCTAAATAATTTGCCCAAGTTCACCAGGAGGTTTTCAACCTCAAATCAATTAACAACACATCCTCCCACTGTCCCCCAATGGTATCTGTATACTATTCACCGCCCGAGCACACGGATGTACACCGGGTGCATGAAAGTGTAATGTGGGTTTTAGACCTAGAGAGAAACGTGTACTACTGGGTGCCTCAGCATGAACATGATTTATCCTGTTTGTTCTCATCGGTGAGTTTTATCTGGCTGGGAAAATCATTGTACATATCTGTCTCGGGTTCCTGGGCCAGGGCATTCTTGGCTATCGTCTGGAAGGCCTGCTCCACGTTGATGCTCTCCTTAGCGCTGGTCTCAAAGTAAGGGATGCTGTTTTTGCTACTACACCAGTTTTGCGCCCGCTTGGTTGAAACCTTTCAAAAAAGTGACAGAAAATGTGTTATGCTATGAGGGCAAGTTGACAATAAACTCAAAATATTACAGGGAGGTCAAGAGCTCTGTCGACTCTATGCTTGAACTAAAAAGGGTGCATTTTCACTAACACTGCAACAGAACCTCTTTGGGGTTACCAGGTTTGATGCGTGTCAATATCAGACCACAGTCTGTTGATCAGGGACACAGAATTAAGAAGCTGGGATAGGAACCCAAGCAAGAGATGTGGCCGGGGTTCACTAAATTCATTTCTAGTAAAACCTGTGGACTTGTTTTCAAAGAGCTGCTTATCAGAAATCATAGCTTGAGCGATTTACCGGTATGTGCTGGTCAAAAAAACACCAAAACCCTAAAAAAGGACAATTCACAACTGGCTGAAAACACATGACATGTTTGGCTTGTGACCAGTTTTTCCTGAGAAAGTACTTTCAGTGCTTAAAAGATGCCTGTGTTTAGCTGCTCCAAGAAATTGGCTCCAGCTTACTTGTCTGTTCTCCATGTCAATCTTGTTGCCTAGGACGACGAAGGGGAAATTCTCCGGGTCCCTGGGGCTGGCCTGGATCAGGAACTCGTCGCGCCAGCTGTCCAATGACTTGAAGGAGTTCTGGTTGGTCACGTCAAAGACGAGTACGCAGCAGTCGGCCCCACGGTAGAATGCTACACCCAGACTCTGGAACCTCTCCTGACCAGCTGTGTCCCATATCTGAAACAGAACAGTGCAAGAAATGTCTGTGTGCTTCAATGTGCACTGGCCCATATTTCAGGGAAGCCTGCAAATTGTTACAGTGGGCTCGGGCATTACGTTACGTAGCACGAGGCAAGAGGATGTCCCTACAAATAGACCTTATTCACCACTTACTGCCAGGGAACCCCGTTTCGAGCACCATGGAATTTTTGAAACGATCCGGAACTGGCTAAACTGATCCAGAACTAGGAAAAGTGTCGTCGTCACTTTTGTCGATCTTGTAAGACAAATTAAAAGCTCACAATTTGAAAATTCACATGTACAAGGTAGATCTTAACGTATAATTGAGCTGTAATATGACTGAATATAGTTTAAGTGATCCGGAACAAGGAAAACGACGGAATACAGACGCGGCTGCGCTGTTCATGCCAACAATTCGACCGTTCGTACCACGGTACACCTACCTGAACATGTATATGTACAGTCGTGCAACATCAAGGTTAGGATGTACATCTTTTTTTGTGGCCTTTTTTCGTGATCTTTTTTCGGTGCACAGTGCTGAAATGTCCAAAATGCCATGCAAAAAAATGTGTTGCCAAAAACAGGTGCTTGCCCGTCGGGCTGGCAGCCTGGAACATTTGGTTGCCCGACAAAATATTTTGGTTTTCCCGGGACATCGGACTACCGATTCTGCAAGCCCTGAAATGGGATGATGCCAGACTATTCTGGGTTTAATGCCTTACTTTTCTTGATGTGGCTTAAAATATTTAGGTATAAATAATCACAAATTTCATAGTCTTCTTCAATATAAATTACATTAATCTGTAATGAAGTTTTATTTCAATGTTTATATTTTTATTTTCGGATGCCACAACAATAAAATTAACCTCACTTTCAATTCAAAATGGCCGACTTGTTAATAAGACCAATTACCCCTTTTCTCTGCCCTTAGCCAATACATTGGAAGTATTTCCAAAATGCTCACTTGCCGGGGGCACAGGGACTAAACCTTGCAGGTGGTTGGAAGCAATACTTTAGACACATGTACATGTAAATAAAGCCTTAAAAGCTACATGTACTGTAGTGCATCATTCATTGGGCTAGTGCATACATGTACATGTACAGTACGTATGAAATTATATTTGTACCAGAATCTGTCTCAAGTAAAAGCATCCCCTCATTGGTTGAAGAGCCATGTTGGTCAAGCGAGTTCATTTTGATGGTAGCGATACGACCGTAATGCGTGCATTTCCTACATGTAGTTGTTCATAAACCGGGGAAGTTCAGCTCCTACCAAAGGAGCCTCCATTGCTAAGAAAATTGTGCCCTCTCTTGGTCTAGCTTAGGCTCATACGCCAGGGGTGAGATTGCCCCATGATAAAAATAGCTGAAAACAGCTGTAAAAAGGCATAAACAAGCTGAACTGTGAAAATCTCCTATACATGTACTTTTGTACACAGCAAGTGAGGAAAAAAAGCTGAAATCTAAAACAAAAAAAGCTGAAATCAGCTAAAAAGCTGAGAAATGTCACTCCTGATAAACACAGACTCTGCTGCTGTTTTGGTATGGGCCCCTCTTGAATCCACCCATGCCCTCCTCTTGTGTTTTTTAACTTCCAAGTGACGAGCATCTGGTCCCACCTACGTATATGAAGATAGGGTTGTTGGTCTCTGCCTCCCTCGACATCCTACCCAAAACGTCCCGACAGATTCCAAAGAACTTGGGAGGCTCAAGGTTACAATCAAACCGTAGCCCTCAGGAAAATATGACAAAAGGCATGGTCTTTTACACAGCATGAAATATGGATTTTTCAACCACTTTTGCTCTTGCCAAAGCAGATGTGGCCAGACAAAATGCCCTAAAATATGAAGGTCAGCAGTCCTAAAAGCAAAATCCTGCAGGTGTTAGTTCTATATTCTGTGCTTATTACGTTCAAACTGTGTGACAGCGTTCTCATTACCTTGGTATACATGTATGTCTGATCAAAAGCTGACAATGCTACAACAGAATTAATGGTGCTGCATACTGTCTTGCTTAAGCCGCCATCAATAGACATATAAGTTGCATAAGGGGCAATGGGAAGGTTTGGGGAACATTTTACAGGTGTAACACCCACCTGCATGGTAACCAGTCTGTCATCTACCATGACTTCTTTTGTGAGGAAGTCTGCACCAATGGTGGCCTTGTACTGGTTACTGAACTTTTTGTTGACATATTGGTTCATCAATGATGTCTTGCCCACACTGCAAGGATGGAAAAGAAAAGCAACGAATTAAAAAAAAAAGCAAAAATTCATTTATCATCACATGCTTTGTGCACGCTTGTGAGACTACACTGTAAGGTAACACTTACATGTATCTGCCTATTTCCGTGCAAGATTTCTTAGAAAAACTGTGAATATAATTACGAATTTATGAAACTAAGACCCGTTTTAATTTACCACAGTACAACACTACAGGCTGCTTTAAAATGACTACCGCCTAAACCCAGTATACATGTATATGAAATTTGATACACTGTAATAAGAACATTAACATGCAAATAAAATGAGCATTATATGAAGAAGGGAAATTTGCAGGTACATGTACTAAGGTATGGTGCCTCGATCACAGCTTTTGGAATATTTCTCGTATTGACACCTTTTATCAGTTTCTCCTCGTACACGTTACCTCTGTGTAGGCGAAGGTGATAAAGAGATGTGTTATGTTTATATGTTAGGATTAGATGGTTCTCACAGGGACCTCAGGTGTCCCGTTCATTCACGTGATGTCATTCTGTGAATTGATAGTATCACTCAGATGCATCAATGCAGAACAGATGTACATGTAAGCTATTATACTGAATTCAGAACTGCATGCACATTACATGTACATATAAATTAAGTGTATTAATTAATTACTGGGGAGGAGTTTAAACAGATTACACGTCAGATATTATATACATTTAATGTTTAAATAATTAACCACTTAAATTTTTATAATTCTTTTTATTCAGAGAAGACATTAAGAACACTTTGCTGCAGAAATTCATGGCATGTTTACAACTGAATTAACAAATCTGACATCAGGCCCACAAAAGGGTTCTGTACATGTAAGTGGGTTGTACATATCCATTCAAGCTCATTATGCACTGCACATGACCACCCAATAAATTCTACCACAGGGCCACTATTTTATGGATGGTGCATTTGAAGAGGAGTTGGTAGAAAAAAAATTAAAATCTTTCTTATTATTTTTTTGACGAGAGGATTTGTGGTTTTTTTGAGGTTTTGAATGAAATCTAAATGTTCAATGTCTCATGTCACAATCAAAGTAACCGAAAGAATAAGTGTTTGTGAGATGTACAGGTAAGCAGATCGCTGTAAAGTATCTGAGACTGCTTGGAATAGGGAGAAACAGGTGCGTACATGTAGGAATCATTATATTTTACATGTACATGTAGTTTCATCTTCTTACCCGCTATCTCCTAGGATGATCACCTTCAGTAAAACCTTCTTCCTCGAAGACATTTTGTTTCACTTTCACTAGATCTGCAGAACTGACAACACAAATGAAACCAATACTACGTGTATTAGTGTACAAGGTCTATTCTTTCTGCGTCATAGTCTCACTTTTGCCTACTAGTGGCAGGTAAAACGATGGTGACCTGTCAGCACACAAGCAAGGAAAATTCAATTCATAGCTTGTTAAAAATCCCATGCTGCTTGCCAAGACATCGAGTAATAAATGCTACTACCTGTGCATGTGCTAACATATAAAGTACATGTACATGAAACAAACGCTGCATCCGAATCTGTTGTCTAGGGCTTCGCTCCATTGGAAATGTGTGGAAATGCATAGACAATAGACCTAGCCGTAGCTCTGGAAACCTGTTTCGGACACGGCCTAAATAAAAATACGACCCTTGTTAACAGCAAATGTACATTTTGAAGTACAAGCTCACACCGGCCAGGGGTGATATTTTAATAAACTTCAGCCACCCATACGAAGAGTAGAATGGTCATTCAGCCATGTCAGCAGTGAAAAGACTTTGCAATACCGGTAGCTTACATGTACAGTACATGCAGTTGAAACTTCTATCCACCCTGAGCTGAAGTGCACCCCAATCGGCAAAAAGAATGGCAGGTGGTTACAAGCAGGTTCTTGCACGCGTTCTGTGTGTACGCAAAAACCATACATGCAAGTAAAAAAAACCAAAACCCATACCTTTAAGTCTTATATATAAAACCATACATGCTGGAGTAAATAAGTAACCCATGCTCAGCGTGCTCTGCGTCAAACGCGCATATATTTGCATGCCTGATGGCGCACCTACATGTATGTGGTAAGTACCAAAAAAAAAACCTGCCTCTTTTGTTTTGCTCGGAGCAGATAGTGCAAATCAGCACCAATGATTATGTACATGTAAGATGCATGATAAAACAATACTCCCTTAGAGGCAGACAAGGAGCAATCCTGTCTAGTCATTGTTTTTCCCAGCATCAAACAATGAAACCATCCATTTGTACAAAGTACATGTACACATACAGGTGTATGTAATTATCTCACAGTCTACACATTCTGTTCATGTACACCATGCACTTCAGGAGCCATTCTTTTGCCACTAGCATCAGACCTTCGATGCATTTCTTCCTCCGGATCTTGTCACCTGACTTCCAACAGGCAAACCGTGCAGCATAACCCTAACCATTGCAAACCCTTCAAAATCCTCCGGCAGTTTTGGAAGATTTTGAAGGATTGAGACAGCATGGCAAAATTGCATTGCTGATTGCAAAGGATGCAAGTACATGTACATTGTCTCAAGGTTGTGAGTTAGATCTTGTGTTGTTTATGTTCAGCCGTGCATAAATTCACGCCCACATTTTATGTGAAATTCTTCATACTGCTCCAGGATACCATTCACACTGTCTCAACATTAAAGAGGGGAATTGCTGGAGAATTTGGCAGGATTGAGACAGTGGGCACCCCTGCACAGAACGTATTCAAGAAAGACATGTATTAGAGGATTTGGGAGGATTGAGGGTGTATCTTCTGAAAAGGGCCTAGGCGGTTAGGATTAGCTTTGTACTGATCGACTCCTGTACATTCAAAGTGAATCATGTCTTGAATGCTTTAATTTCTTGCTTAAATGTCTAGAATGGTCACATGTTCAGTTTAAAGACATGAAAATGCCGCATAACAGTCTGGCCGAGTACTGTTCATGTACGTGTATGTCAAGTTTGTCCGTCATCTTTTTGCCTTGCTGGCCAAACATTACAACCAACTGTTGCTTACTACATGTACATGTTCATGTACATGTAGATACATGACGTGTGTTTAGCACATTTGGGGATGCACAGAACCCCAAGTAAAGCCTGCCTGCCCCTGCTATGAAATGCCAGTCAACAAATAACACGCATTTGCAGCCAAGGTATTCCAAATGTAAATTTAATAACATGAACTGCATGTTGATGTCTAAGCACTGTACAGGCATACACATTCACAAAGCCTAACAAAGGACTATTTGTCTCATAATGGAATACATACGTGCATGTACAGATGGGGAACAATACAATTTTGTTGTCAGGATTTACTGAAACAACTACATGTACCAAAGATTTGTGAACTGTTAATGGGGAGAATATACATGTACATGTACAGTTTTGCGGCATCCAAAAATGCTAAATACATGTACCTAATCTGTCTGGAAGGTACACACAAACGAACACATTTCTTAGTGTTGATGAGTCATGTTAACCTGACATGGTGTGGTTTGACAAAGTGATGTGGGCATGTAGACAGTCTTTGAATGTAAAGTACGAACACATGTATGCCACAGTTCAGCAGGACCACATGCATGTACTCCACACTTACAGAACACCCCATCATGCGAACCAAGGTTAATACCTGCCATTGAACTACGTGCATGTACAATAGGCAGCTAAACAAAACATAACAACTGGGTAGCTCAGTACAAAGACAACGGTTAAATCATCAAACCTTGACTCTTGTATTTTAACGTCTAATTGTAAAAATCTCAGCAATTCAGCCTTTGGCTGGTATTGAAATTTTAAGAATAAACCAGCAATGAATGTATGAATGAACGGGAATTGACACCTGTATGTCTTTGCCCATAACCTTGACCCAGCTTACAATGTATATCAATTGTCTACACGTATACTGTACTATACAATGTACACTGTACGTGTAAACATGTAAACTACAAGTAGGAAGAATTATGTTCAAACCAGTTCCCAGACATGTACAGTGTACTAACATAAAATTTCTCCAAAATCCACGCTCTGCCCAATATGTGTTCATGTATCTGTGAGCAGATAATTTGACGAACAACAAACATCAGGTTTGAACAGTTACAAAACTGTACAAAGAAGAAGTTGAGTTCCATTGCAAAATGGATACCTGTATCGATGACTACTGAAAAGCCACAGACTGGTGACTTTCAGTTTGTGTTTGACCTTGCCTTGGTTCAGTAACAAAATGTTGCACAGGCCAAAAGGTCCTTCCTGGTTAACACTGCAATATGATACGTGTAGGCCTATGCTGTCTGACCTAACTGGTGAAAATCAACCTGGTCCTGTTTCCATACTGTGACCTAGTCACAGCATTTTTCTCATGTTTCTTCCTATTCTGCAAGCAAGCCACATAATTTTGGATTTGTTCACTTGGAAATCTTATTCTGCCAGTCATCATGTGTACACATTTTTAAACAGGCGTTGTAAAACTTCACAAGCGCTGCCAATGTAAATGGAATACACTCAAAAGCACATCGTAAAATTGTTTCTTACTCGTCACAAAACTAATTTCGCCTCGAGTAAGTTCTACAACAAACTGAGAATAAGTACATACATGTACATGTACTTTGTAGGTGCATGTAACATCACGCTACGGCCAATCTCTTCTTTACATGCACTATGCCGGGAGAACCCGGAAAACATACAAAACCTTTCTCAGGGACATCCACATACATGTACTGAATCTAACACCCGAGTGCAGCTTGCCAGTAATTTCTGCTAAATCTTGAAGTGATGAAAATGAGATCCCTCATACATGTACATGTACATGGATTCAACACTTTTTTACACTCATAAGCCCTGACAGTCACGTGCCGACAGCTACACATACACATGGGTAAGCATTCACACTAAGGAGACAAGTTCTTTTGTTAGAGAAATTTGGACCGAGTTGTGGGGAAATTGTCTTTGTACCTATAATGTTTTTGGTCCCCACAAAATAGGTGAAATGTCGAGAGCATGTCCCCACAACTACGGTGCGGGAGTGTAAGTACCGGTGCTACTGTACATGTTCCATGTCCGTGTGCCAAGTCAGACAAAATCCCCATCCTACATACACACAAGTGTGTATTTGCCTCCGACTGGGGACCCCCTATTGTTCCTCTTTTGTTTGTACTTTTAACTTTTTTACAAGACCACCCATATGTTTTGTACACAATTGTCAATCGGGGACCCTCTGTCAATGGGGACCTTATTGTCCTCCATTGTTCAAGGGACCTTATTATCCTCTATTGTTCAAGGTCCCCAACTGAATGCAGAAACAAACTCATGTAAACACACATACACACACCTGGTGGAATAGAAGACACGTTTTACATGGACCAGAAGGAATTGTACTCAGGTGGATAAGGTATGATTTGCATGAAGTGTACAATTTCTCGGTACAAATGCCAGGGGGATTGGTTTGATCCGAGTTGTGCTGCGACACAGAAAATTTTTTATCTACTTCATGCTGGATGATGTCCAAGCATGCTGGGATTCCCCATGTCAAAATGCAGAGAACGTTTAAAAACCATGTTTCTGCAAATTCTGTATGAAGTGTTGTGTGACACAGACGGTTTGCATGGTTACCGCCTTGCAAGCCAGTGAGTTTCTTCCAGAGGTATGCACAAAGGAGGTCACTCAGTGGAACAAAAGAACTGCCCTGCAAGATGGCAACCGTGCAAAGCTTCTACACATGGCTTCATGCTCAAGTGGTTCCCGCTGAATTTGTTTGCACATACATGTACACCATAGAGGCTCAAAATAGTCCATGGACACTGAGAGTGTGTTGCCCTCAAACACTGTTCTGTAACAGTCTCGAAGTTTTGAAAAAGCAGGGGCAGATCCAGGATTTGCCAAAAGGGGAAGTGTGAACTAAAGCAGCAGTGGTACTAATGCCTGTGAGCACCTAGCGCAAAGCTTTTACAGCATGGGGTCCAGGTCCCACTTGAGGACCCCTGGAAATTGGGGATTCTGGGCACTCTTCCTCCTCTTTTTCTTTGGAAGCGACTTAATACTAGCCCGTGAAACCTGGTGCGCTACTTTTTTTCAGTAGCTGGAGTGACAAATGATTCATGAAGAGGGGACAATGCAATACACCATTTAAGACATTT